ACTACATTGTAGAAATTTTTTACAGTATAGAATAGTTACAGATATTTTTTTTTTCATTTTTGTTGATATTTTGTCGGTCTTCTCTGAATCTCTTGTAAAACAATAACACGGACATTCCCTACGGTTTGACATGACAAGAATCATCAATAAAAATAAAATACGTTATTAAAATCGTTGTTCTATGAACTTTAAAATGATGTACAGTTTAAAGGCCAACGTGCATCCATGAACCTTTGCGATCGTTTCTTTTGTTTTGCAAATGAGCTTTTGTGGAAAGTTGTTTTCTGATTCAGTGATTGGTTCAAAAATTTTAGTATGTGAACAAATCGCGCAAAGGTTCTTGGGAAAACGTGTGCCTTTAATTACCATCGTGCAAGACAAATAATAATCAGATTTAGCGTTGACAGCGAGTTAGACATTGCGGAGTGCGAGTTTTCAAACTGGCCTTGGTTTTGATGCGGTGCTCAGTCGTATTTTTCTATAATTCACTGAAACGTTAAATAATAAAATAACAAATTGACTACAGGATTTACAACAAACACAGTGACTTTTTTAACTCGTACTGAAGTACTCGTGCTACTCGTTGYCAAAGCTTGAGGTTGTAACGTCATGTACCGGTTAACAAAGAACAAAACAATACGACAACACCAACAATGCACAAAACAAAGAAATATGCACTCTTCTATTGTGTTATGAATCAAAGGATTCCGGTTCACGAAGACACACCCAGGGTTAAGCTGCGTTATGTCGTTTGCCCCGTGTGTACTTCGCCTCGATGTCTCTTCTGCTGATTGGTTGAAATATTTACATTCTTATGATACCATATTTGGGTTGGTTTATACTGTAGAGTGATACACAGGAAGCCCGGAGACTCATGGCGAGAACCTGAAAATTGACAARTAGTGCTTTAATGTTACATCATGATTCCTTGTCAGATTACCTTGCGAGCAGAGGAGGGGCTGGAAAAATACCTCTGCTTGCAGGGTATGTCAAATACTCCAGTTTTGAGATCTTATTTGTGCAGTCTTAACCTCAAAAGCATATAATATTTAACACTTATTTACTGGAAACCTCGGGAAACAGTATGTTTTGCGGTCTCGGGACCACAAAACATACTGTTTCCCGAGGTTTCCAGTAAATAAGTGCTTTATTATCATATCAAGTGTCAAAGAGAGCAAAAAAAGTAATACTCCAGTTTCGAATTCAAAGCGAATAACCGCTGTTTTACTTGACAGCAGATTCTATTACGCAAAGAACTTACCAAAGACAAAAGAAAGCACGAGAAAATGTTGTTAATACAATAGAGCGCTAAGAATCTACATTTTCTCCGAGTTGAGGCTAACCCTGCTCATACCTTAGGTCTTATGGGAATACAGGAATAATCTCAACTCGGGGAAAATGCAAATTTTCAAGTCTATTGTTATAACGACATTTTCTCGTGCTCTCTTTTGTGTTTGTAAGGTCTTTGCGCAAGAGAATCTGTTGTCAAATAAAGCAGCGGTTATTCGCTATGAATTCGAAACTGGAGTATTAAGTTTTTTTATTAAAGATTTTGATAAAATGGCTGGAAAATGGCAATACAAATAGTCAACTGTCACTAAAATCAATCGACAATCGCCGTTCGCCGTTCTCCCCGACAACGTTTTTTAAAATAGCTGTATGCCAAGCGCAGAAGTATTGCAGTACCTTTCTCGTRTCCTGAGGTAGGATAACTCCATCGTCCCAAAGTCTTGCCGATCCATAGTATGCCTTTGATTCTGATTTCAACCTTACAATGGAATCCATGAATGTCAATCAATCAATAAAGTTCAAAGAGTCAAGGCGACGTATACAATACCGCAATGCATTGTAGGATATTTTTGACGAAAAACATGGCGGATTTATATTGTTTTCTACAGAAACCGATCCCACAATGCATTGCAAATCAAGCAAGTGACGCAAAAGCTTCARAAGTCTATTAGATAGACAGGCAGAAAAATTCATTGTATACTTACTTTGTTTTGAATTGATCGTGGTCTTGAATGGTGGTATTCTAGCACAGACAATACACAATGGCAAGTATTAGCTCTACACGATGAATCCAGGAGGGGTTGCAAAAGTATGGTTCTCATAGGTTGTTACATAACCCATTTTCCATTTGGCTCAKGACATTTTAGTTGCCTTTCGCATGTTAGCATGTTTTCATAGGKTCGCGAAAATAAGGTCCAATTAATGACAAAATCTTGGTCGACAATTTTAAGTACTCGTGACTAGTAAGCTGAATCACTGTAGGATTCCACTATTTGACTAAAAAAATCCTTTTAACAAGAAAACATTAGTTGACATCAAGGAAAATTATTGAGCCAAACGAAAGCACGCATTATTTTTTGTGGTCGCTGCGGAATCCGCACAGCATAAATATATACATTTTCAGATTGATACCGGGAACTCTTTATGTTATTCACACGACCCCAGCACTAGGCAATGTCCACTGGCTGGTAATAAGCCTTGTTTTSTAGGCTCAGTAATGATTGGTTAACTTACCTCTTGTAGTTTGTATTGTTGAGTCATATTATCAACTGTGTCCATAGCAACCGTGGCAGAAGGCCAGGAGTATAGAAACCGAGGACTGAACGACCGTCCACACTGAAACAAGAAACATTACTTAATAGGAATCAAGAACGACAAAAATCATTAATATTTGAATATAAGGCAGTCATAAATGAGGCAAGATTACAATTCAACTAAGAGCACATGTTATATTTGGAAAACATAGAGGATTAGAATGGAAAATTATAAATATCAAATACTTTATTTCTTAGTTCACGACGTGCAGTATGTGAAATGTCAGGCGTACACATCACGGAACTTTCACTGACGSCGAATTCATCACCTTCAGCAAACGGCATGCACGGTTATGGCCTTTTTTCCAATTTTTTTAGTCAAATACCATCCTTTCTAAGTCTTTTTAGCAAGTTTTCAGTGCATACAGATCTACCATACATATTGCTGTATTCCTACAGAGGACCATGGTCTACCAGCATTCAGTGCGGTCATGATCTAGATTTTTCATGGAAAACGAGATGACTTGCAAGTATCCATTAGCGATCCGGTTTCATCCGTCAGTTTTAATATAGAATCTTACAATATCGCCATTCAAAGAATGACAACAAACTGAGTGCGCTTCTTCTTATATTACGAGATCTTTGTTTTGTTGTTGTTGTTGTTGTTTTTTTGATTTTTTTTTTTTTTTCAAACACAGAAAAAAGCTTGTAAGGGATAAATGTCGACCATGATTTTTTTCGCATCTAACTCACCATCACATAGTTGTCAGGACCGTAGCTGCCACCAACAATAACAGTGAACTTTGGTACCTTGATCAACAAGAAAAGGACCTTAACGGACGCGTTTTGGTAACTATCAACTAATAATGTCATCAGCGCTATCATTACATCGTAAAATTATGAACCCTTTTCGAAAAAAATATTTTTAACAAAAGGAATTTGGTGCTAAGCATTGTTTTAAAGAAAAAATAGTAGTTTCTAAGGTAAAGGCATTTGAAAATTGATGCAAATGAAGAAGATATAAACTTAGAGTTTTCATATTTTTTTTCCTTTTCACATGTGCTTAGCTGCATGTTCTCTTTCAAATAAAATGATTTTCCAAAAGGGCCCATGTGCACTTTAACATGATTCCATGAAATCATACAGAAAACTAGAAGTTTTACTGAAAATTTGAATTATCATATTTCGTGGATCGTGGATCTCGTAGTTACCCAAAACAAAACAAAGTATAATAGTCAAAGGATGATCATAAAAGAATTGAAAAAGATAAATCATAAAAGAGTTGAAATACTTAGATAAATTTGACGTTTCGGATGTTAATCCTTATTCGGAAACATCGACGGAGCTCACAATAGTTTACCGMTAGTCTCCACCAGGAATAAGAATTGTCATTCATGCAAACCAACACAACTACTTACCTTTGCACAGGCAACAGCCTGCATCATCTTAGCCTGGTCCTTGATTACACCAGCCATCAAAGCACCATCTAATACTGGGTCTTCTGGAACTATATTTTGTAGGAACACTATTGGGATGTTCCTTTGACTGCAGAGCTCTACAAAATGGGCTCCCTGTGGAAAATGTTACACAAAATCTTAAACAAACAAATTAATTCTTGCAATTATGAACAAATTTAAAATAATATCAGAGCAACATTATGGCAGATTAAGCAGTAGATACGAAGTCTGGGTAACAGCAAGTTTGAATATTCAAAGCATCACAGTTTTAGCATTGAAAAATATGTGTGTTCAAACAAATAGTTTACCAATGAAAGTACTGATTTGGTAAGACATTTTGACCAGCTCTTGATTTATTTTGCCCTGAATAGCGTACACATGTCGTGAATAGCCCTGATAGCTCGATGTCATATTTTAGAATAAAACGGGATTGTACAGAATGAATGTATTTGACATATCTTTACCTTCAAGGCSGCATCTGATTTCATTGTCCCATTGTTTGCAACAATACCAACAAGATACCTAAACACAACAAAAAAACGTTATTACTTTCCTGGCAACAGACTTGGTCAGACACATACTTCAGCCAATAAAAAAATTACTTAAAATTCATGCAAGAAAGTGTTGCATGAAGGGTGAATAGTGGTATCTAGGCTGGTTGGATAAAGTTATCCACTCCTGTCAAGCAAAATCTTCAAGGGCGGATCCAGCTGAAATTTTAAAGGAGTGCTTTAAGGGAGGGGGTTAAATGGTTTTAAGGGAAGCTAAATGGGCTGTATTTGTTAAACAATGTTGAAAATAATAAAAAACAGTGTTTGCCCCTCCCTGGATTTGCCCTTGATCTATGAAGTGGATAATGAAATACTTAATCACCAATTTCACAATGCAACAACGTTTCTTAAATTACATCACCTAGGTGCACAATAATTTTGTATATTATTATTTCTATGTTCCAATCTGCAATTTTATACTCTTAAAATTGAAGAGTTTATTTGTGTTCAGATATAATTGTTATAAAATTTATTCAATCAATACAAATGTATTTACCCTTCGATGTGGGCAAACCCTGTTATCAGCTCAGCTCCATACTTCGTTTTAAATTCTTGAAAGCGACTGCCATCAACAATTCTAGCTATAATCTGAAATGTGAAGCAAAACTGTTGGTATGATATTCATTATCATCACATCAAGTAGTAGTAACCATCAAATCAGYRAAATTGCCAAAGACATATTTTTTTACRAAACTCTAACCTGATACATAGGCAGATCTTTGCTGTCAATCACAGACAGACCAATCAGATCTTCTACGTTATACAATGGCGGCTCAACAGGACCTGAAATACAAATCAAAAGATGTCTCTTAACTTCTTTTGTGTAAACAGAGAACTAGTCTGATGTACTTACAAATAAGCCTTCAAGAATAATTCAGATGACTAATTACATTATCATCTTCTATCACTTATCATATCCCAGCAATGATATTTTCATGCTCATTCATTGGTTCAAAGGGGTCATGCAGTACATTTTCGGCAGACTTGTATCAGGCAATATCATTCATGACCACAATGTACATTCACTGGKGTAATTCTAGTTAGATGTACCTTTAGGAGTTGGTATTTCAGGTTGGTTTAGYGATGCCATAATCTGTTTGGTGATTTCTATTGATTCTTCTTCATTTTCACCAAAATGATCTGTACATCCACTGATACTGCTCAGAATAAAACACAAAAAAACACTGTAAGTTATACATACCTACATGCAATCCTGTTTGATGCCTGGATGATGTTATATTGTTAACCTCCCAAAAAACCTACGAAAACCTGTACTTGAAAACTCTTTTACTGGTAATCTGTTAAATTCTTAATTACAAAAGATAACTTCTGAGCACAAGCCTTTCTAGAATCTCAGCTCACTGGAGCCTCTGACTTTTCTGTTAATCAATATAACGTCTCAGAAAACAGAGCCCAGATAAAACTGTACATTACTTGCTAAACTGATTATTCAACAGCCACTCTCACCTTGAATGAACCATTGCACCCCCAAGATCCTCAGCAGATACAACTTCTCCTGTTGCTGCCTTTCAGACAAAAGAAACAATTTAACTGGATTAGAAGTCAAATACTTGGGCTTATTTTATGGGTTACAAAATAAAGATCTTGGCTGCAAATGACACTCAGACATTCCAAAATGACAGGAAAAATTTCTTCACCAAACATTGTAGCTCACCTTGACCAGGGGAGGTCCACCAAGAAATATTGTTCCYGTCTTGTTAACGATAACAGTTTCATCTGACATGGTAGGAACGTAGGCAGCACCAGCCGTACAAGAACCAGCCACCATACAAACCTACAAATATCATTTCAAAATGGGATATTTGATTCATTYTTCCATTTTCTATTATAGACAACCACATACAGTTCATTATCTGATAATGTGGCTACTGAAACCGGGGCCACCTAGAGAATGTAAAATAATCACAACTTCGATTAAAACAAGGCTTAAAAGGCTAAAAAACGATGATAAGCAATATTACAAAGAATTAAAGCTTAAAGTGAGATGAGGTTCCCTTTGTCTGAATCCTTTGTTTTCAATCTAAATTGTGAGATTTTATATTCTCTAAGTGGCCCCAGTTTMAGTAGCCATACTGTAATAAAATGTAGTTGGGCTGTCAGTAAACAGCCAGCTGTTTCATCATAAAACACGCTGAGCTGTCTGAACAAGTATCCAGTTAATTACATAAACCTACAACAACCATTTCAAAATGGAATTTCTATTCAGTCAACYATCCATTGCCTGCCATAAACCAGGGCTCGAAATAGCAGCCAGACATATGCAGAACAAGATGTCCTTCCAAATTCATTTTTGGAAGGTCATGTCAAGTTTTGAAAGGCCAAAAACCTTTCTTTATTATACTATTATTATCTTTTAATTATAGGTTTTGGTGTTCAGAAAGATCGGCAAGCATTTCAATGGCTTATAAAAGATTTATTTAGTGAATTGAGAATTTGGAGAATGTGGCTTGTCAATTTGTCCTTTCAAAACCCGAATTGGCCAGTCATTTTCATATAGCGAATTTGGAAGGACATTGTCCTTTGACCGGCCATTATCTTGAGCCCTGTAAACAATTACAAAGAAGAAGAACATACAGGTCTATCTCTATATATGTATCTCTATTAAAAATCCAACCCCTATTCACACCTACAAACAGCTTAAATGTAAATGTTTATAAGATGTGTAATTGCATTACTGTTGTGACTGTAAGTCACACTTTTGCAATACTGACCACAGGGATCCCAAGAGAAGATAAGATGGCTTCATTATAAAATGTTTTTCCTCCAGTTTCTGGAAAAATATCAGCCTGAAAAAGAATGAACAACATGAATGAAAACATCCATGATTCATTGATCTTTTATATTCTTGAAGCCCTGGTTAATAAGACAAAAAACAGACTCAAATGATCAATATTTTAGAAACAAGGTCCAGTACCTCAAAACATGTTTACTTATTATTAAGACTAACATAAAAAATGTCATTAAATTCATAAAAAAAATATTTTTTTCTTCAAATTAAAAAAAATGTTATACATGTAGAACTTAAAATCATGTAGATCTGGAACCTCCTATCAACTCTTATAGATAAACAATGTCAGCTTACTGTACATGCAGGTCCATATAATATAGGATTGAAAAGTTAACCTAGGAGATGGTTGACATTCCCACAAACTGCTGTAAAAATGAGTCAGTTTCTGTTGCCATGCAACTCTAAGCAGCTGTCACAGAGCACATTTTGTTTGACTGTCCAACATTATGGTCACAACAGATGCTTGTTTTRCGCTTTTTTAGACATTCATTCAAAGTCTGCTTTATCAACTGATTTATTCACTGATGCATTGTGTGACTAGACAGATCTGAAGTCATTCAGACAAAGCTTKACTAATCRTTTCAAGAATTGAGATTTGGAGATTGATGATTGATGATTGCTGATTATTTACATGTATGATTGGTGACTGGATGTGATTCTCTGACATACTAACACATACTGAATGCATTCTATACCTGTAGGGGTAAGTAAGCCCCACCAGAATCAACAACAAACACCAATGGCAGCCTATTTTCTTGTGCAATTTCCTGTGCTCTAAGTTGTTTTGTCACACCAATAGGAAATACTGTACCACCTTTCACTGTAGCATCATTRGCAATAATAACACAAAGCTGCCCTGATATTGTCCCTACACCAGAYACAAGACCAGCACAGGAAACTGTCCCATAGTCCAGGTCATGACCAGCAAATGGTGATAGCTCCAAAAAATCCGTCTTTTCGTCTAATAACTTATTTATTCTGTCTCTAACTAGAATCTTTTTATTGCGTTGCGTGTGTCTTTGTCGTGCGTTTTCTCCTCCGCCTAAATAAATGGCTGAAAGAAGTTCTTGGTGGCGCTGTTGYAGTTGACGGCCTTTTTCTTTGCAWGCTRCAAATTTATCAGAAGAAACATCAWAACGGCCGTCCAAAGTTGGAAATTCTGTCTTTCTAGAGTAAAACCTCACTAAAGTCAATCKTGTWAWTGTYATCGGTAGAGTAAGAATTCTTTTGTGAATTTTACATRAGGACGACATCGTTGCTCCACTCCACGGAAATTGACACGAAAATAAGAACGTCACAAATATTTCAAAAACACAAAATCTAAACACTTCAATAGTGTGATGTAGAAATGCTTCATGCGTACTGATGTGCAGAAAATTAAACTTAATCCATCTAATGCAAAAAGAAATTTAGAAAAGAGTACAAAGACCTGTTTCCTACAACACCCGCCATTTTGCAGCCCGCGATACTTTGATTCAGCACAAATTACCATTAGTTCCAGTCCCATTAATCCAACACGATCTTCAAGATGGCTTCCAAGTTGGACGAAGAAATGTTTGARAGCTCAGAAAGTGACGATTCAGACACAGAGGCGAGTTGCTTTTTATTAATACGATCAAATGTGATGTAATAAATGACTGCCTACTAATAAGCATTGGATATTTTAGTTACAAAAGGCGTTTATGAGAGGAGAATTGAAGGTCGGTTTGAATCGACCAGCGTTTGTACCACGTGCACAAAGACCAAGTATCAATAATGTGGTAAGAAACGAACAATAATGATCTAAAACTGAATAATGAGATTTTAAAATATAATATCGGAAGATATGCAATATAAAGGCACCCATATAATATTTTGCAAGCTTAATTTAAGTTAAATAAAGACGTAAGCTTACTATGTACATGTATTAACTTAGGTCTTGAATAAATCTTTGAATTTGTTTGTTTTAGGAAGGAATCAAACAGAAAYTAGAACACATAACAAAGAATCTTGATTGGATAGAAACAATGGATGTCATATTTGATGGAGGTGAAGAGGAGAAAGAAGAAGAAAACAATAATACAACTGAAGTCCACGATGACTTCAAAAGAGAAATGAGATTGTAAGTAAACTCACTACACTAGCTACATATAAAAGAGACAKTATACAAAGCTCCATACCTAGTTACCTAGTGAACAGCAGGCATTTGAACAGCAGGCATTGGAAAAGCATTTTTTAGTTCCTTTCATTCTTAACCATAAAAGTATGAAATAGTCGGCCAGAAGATCTTAGCTTTTGTTTCACACATCTACATACAATGTACATGTCCCCGCTACATGTACATAGCCCTGCATAGTGTATCCTACGAATATCAAATGTACTCTAATCATATTTTCACTGTGAAAAACCTTGAAAGATTGACTTCATTATTAACTGGTTGATCACTTGACTTACCAACTGATTGACAGACTTACTGAGTGATTGATAAAATTGTTTGWCTTACTGACTGACATACTCAATAATTATTGACTTAGTGACTACTTGATTGACTAACTGGATGATTGATTGATTGTAGCTATAAACAAGCACAACATGCTGTCACAACTGCCATTCCTAGACTACACAGTCTAGGTGTGAAAACTAATCGCCCTGAAGACTACTTTGCAGAGATGGTAAAAACTGAYGAACATATGCAGAGGGTAAGAAAAACACAGTTTGATGCTGGAAATGCTTGTTAACCATGGTCCAATGCCATCTTGATGCTTTATAATGCTGCTACTGTATTTTGAAATACTATGCTAATAAATTTCCATTATTTTTTTTTTGTCCGGTATCCTAGTCATTCATGCACTGTGATTGGCTAGTGCGTGGTCTGGTTTTTCATGCAAAAAGTTGAAAAAAAAGCTGCGAGTAAAGTTGCATAAAATACAAATAAAAAAMATATTAAAAATGTTATTTACCAGCTATACAAATGTAGGTCGGTCCATATAGGAAAACACTGCCCTTGGTCTTTTATGTAGCTGCGCTCGTTCCGTACTGTCAAGTCCTCGGGCAGTGTTTTCCTATACGGACCTCCCATTCGGTAAACATATATTTATTTCATCAATCAAATTTCTTTAAACATTAGGTGAGGGCCAAATTATTAAGTAAACAACAAGGAATAGAAAGGTCAGACAAGATGAAAAAATTAAGAGAAATGAAGAAGTTTGGAAAAAAGGTAAGGTGGTAGTTTATTGCATATTGAATGTGCTTTATATATTGCATGCCATTTACAATTCAAACATCTATATATTGTAGGTACAGCAAGATGTTTTACAAAAGAGACAAAAAGAGAAAAAAGAAATGATTGAATCAGTCAAAAAATACAGAAAAGGTACATGTATACAATTATGCATCTAACTGCCTGTACTCATGACTGCAGAATTATGGTACCAATTACTGTACCTTGCAAGCTGAAGCGCCATTTTAGATTGACATGAAAATATGGCATATTTGTAGGATTTCTTAAAGTGAGCGCAAATCGTCTTGCATCCTTTCAGTTTTTACAGAATTCAGTACCTCTTAGGAACAACAGTATCAATGTATAATCTATTGTATGATTGAGGCATTTAAACATATCACSCTTGTGTTAAAAGTATCACGCTCATGTTATTGTTTAAATGTATCAATAACACAAGTGCAAGCTGTAGTGTGGTTGGTTGAGATTCTTTAGGGTTGCAGACTTCTTGTCAAAGAGCACATTCAAAGTTCTCTTGGGAACTTTCGACACTCAGTCAATGAATACTGTTTATTTTTTCCAGGTAATAAACAAGCTGCACCAGAGTTCATGAAGGATGATGACTTTGACATAAATACAGAAAAAGAAAAGAAAAAGTCTCAAGGGTTAGTTACAGATATTTGCAAAGTCTCACTACTATTACACAGTCCATTCTGACTTTTTTCTAGCTCTTATTGACATATTTAATATACTTAAAAGGTTTAGTATAGTGATCAAGAAGAATACATTGAACCAAGGTGTCAAGAATAATGAGATATTTCCTTTTGTCCTCTGAGAAACTCCTCGGTTCAATGTTTCTGTGAGGCTATGTATTGAAACCATTGATAAATGTAGTTGCAGTGGGGCTGCATATTTCCACACAGGCTAAAGTTGTCACTGAATTGAACATCAAAATTGAACATMAAAATATCCATGATGATACTTGTGTGAATTGGCCCTAAAAAGTCAAATTCATGGCTTATGTTGACAAACCATTAAATAATGTAATTGTGACTTTTCGTGGCATGATCACATTTAAGTTATGAAAACCATCTCAATGACACAACCTTGTTAAATCAATAAGTTTACTAAATGTCTGTTCATTATGTTTATTTTAGAAAGTCCAACAAAAGGAAAGCTAAAGACAAGAAATTTGGCCATGGTGGCAAGAAAAGAGGCTTGAAGCACAACACCAAGTCAAGCAGTGCAGATGTTAGTTCATTTAATTCAAGAAAACACAGTAAAGCACCAAGACTAAACCAACCAGGGGTAAGAAACACTTTCACAACTTTTAAGTACCTAAAAAGTATACGGTAATACCAGCAGCAAAAGCATCCAACTTGACTTCAACATGGTTTTAAAGCAAGTTTGAAATGGATGCTGAGCGTACTACTACCACAAATCAACTTGTTGCAGGTTGAAAAAATTTGTTTCAGAAAAGTAGAAGACGGTTCTACACTTCATGCAACAAAATACCTTAGTTTGATGTTGCGCATGTTACCGCCACCCAACTTGTCTCACATCAAAATTATGTCGCACGCCAATCAGCTGACTGCATTAGCCAATCAGAAATAAGGATTTGCTCAACCTGCAGCAAAGTATTTTGATGCGAGACAATTTTGTTCGCCAGTAGTAAAACGTGCAACATCGCTTTCCAACTTGTTTTGCAGCAATGTTGCGAGACAAGTTTGGCATTGATTTTGCTGCTGGTATGACCGTAGCCTTAGTATCATCAAACTTGTTAATAAAATTAAGAAAGGACAATAAAATTCAATAATATCAATATAAAAAAAACAATATATCTTAATCAGATAAAAATTCAAGTGAGAGCTCATCATGGATTATTCCTTTGTCATTTTGCACTATATCCTAATTTAAACAATACAGTGATGACAATGCTTTTAATCYTGTAGAAAAAGAGAAAAGCACAAAGACCAGGAAAATCAAGAAGAAAAAAGATGAAGAAATAATTGTSACTATATTCGATGATTGAATTTATCTACATAGATGAGTATCTATTAAATGACATTCTGCAAACATCTTAATTTGTAAAAACAAAAACACATTTTGTCATCATGAGAACTACAAWACACTTGTAAAATAATTCTTTAATTTAATCCCATCAAAGTTTTTTGTTATGCAAAGTTTGTGTGCAATTGATGCAAATATGGAATCCAAAAAAGATATTGAAACCATGGATTAGTATTGCTTTAAAGATACTTAAAAAACTCATACATAATTAATGAGCCACCAGGCCTAGAATGAGCCTATTTGGTCACATGCATGGACCTTTATATCTGATAAAACACTCCTTATTAGTATTCTTTATATAAAGAATACTAATAAGGGTGACCTTTATCAGATATAAACATAAACATAAACACAGAAACTGCAAACTCTTAAAATAATTAAATATTTATAACTACAAATCAGACATTAAGGACAAAAATATATTTTATAGATCTTTGTCCTTTAGAGTCTTTGAGCCAAAGTCTCGTACCTGGATTATAACGTTTTTTTAGAATATACCCCTTAGCATGTGCTGTCAAATCAGCTTATCTTGGCATAAGACAATATTTTAATTAAATGCTAGAGAATAAGCTCCTTTCACAGGAACAGCCAGGTGTGTATATCACACTTTGAATCTGTATATTTACACTCTGAATATATAAAAATATACAAACCTTAATAAATACATAAAAAAAAACAATCATCCTAATTTTAGCTAGTTGCCGATCTTCACTACCATAACTTAACCCTTCCCTTATTTTTACAACCGAGAGAAAGAGTTTGGGATGCTGTTATGAAAAACTGATCAATATGTCAAAATAGTGATAAAATATTAAATATCTATTAATAATATTGATTCAATAAATATTGTTTTTTCAATGTTTGTAGCAATGTTATCTTCTCACAACAACCTGGAATAACAAAAATTATGTCAAGTGGAATATTATAAATTATAATTCAGATTATCTGAATGAACATTCAAGTYGCATTCAAGCCTACTGACTGAGAAATAAGTATTTTTTTAATACTTAAAAATACTTAAAAGTGATTGTAGTGACTGARGTATTTCTTACATTCTTCATAAATAATTTGCACACACATGAGGACAGCATTGGAGAATATGAAACTGGAGTTATTGTATTACAATTAACACAAACCCATTATGATCATATTTTTTATAATTGATTGTGATCAGTACCTTTGCTGACTGCACTCTCTTGTATGCTTTGGTCCCTGATGCACTGCTGGTTCTCCCTGTTGGTGTTAGAATTAGAGAATTACTATGGAATCATTCAGTTCAATAATCACCATGACAATACCTCTAGTTGCTGTAAAAGGTCTTGAGAAGTGTGACCAGCTAGCATGCCCTGGAATTGGTTTACTGGGGGAGGAACAAACATGAATAATTATAACATGCATAAAAAAATTGAGGAAATGAAATGTATCAATGAGAAATATTGCTAGTGGATAATAATACCAGTGGCTTCTGAGAGTAATATTTGACAACATAGTGAACGCACTTAATCCGTGCAACTGTACAAAATCTAAGTAGTACTAATTTGTACTAAAAGTGGACCTGAAGCAAGACGGTATTGAATGCTTCATTTGAATCAACTCAATTTAATTTGCGTATCGCATGCACAATTTTCTAAATACACCTAAACATCGCTATTTAGTTTGTACAGTTGCACGGATTAAGTGCGATCACTCTAAGTAAAAAAATGCCAAGAATGCACAAAAGTTACACAAAAAGGCATCATTTGCATGGTGGTAGTACAATGTTGACAGGACCTCACAGATTCTAAGTAACTGCATCACAACCCAGCCAGCTTAACATGTGTAGTATAGTTTACAGGTTCTCTGTTGTTTATTTGTGATAAACGTTTACAAATTCAAAAGGGCGACAAAGTACAGTGTGTAGCACTGATTGTTAAAATTGCTCTTTATCTTTGTCTTGCGACGCCGAATAAGATATGTTACAAAAACCACGCTAATCTCTTACCATGCTGTCTTAATTGATTGACAGTAGTTGTCAGAACGAATTTACGTGATTGGCTAAATCTATAACTAAAATTACTATTTAACTATTATGCCAGTATTGGTACTGGGACTATAAATGTTTACATAAAATCACTTGGCTACACATGGTTAAGATGTAGTTTATTAATGATATTCCCATAAAAGGATAAAGTGTATATCCTACTCTGCAGGCAAACATGATTTCTTTCCCTCTTTTGGGATCCTTCTGGTAATCCTCTTTGCCGAGTTATGGCTGTTGGACCCCTGAGATTTATAATCCCATAACACCCTATGGTCATATCAGAAAAAAGCTGAGACACCTTCATAGGAGTCTACATGTCGGTACAGTAATCTTGCAGTGTATCTTATCCCACTCCACACCAAACACCTGATTCTTGTCTAACTCGTTTCCAGCTCCTTTAAATGAAAGTGGACTGGAAACCCCCATTTATACACAGGAAACCCAAGAATGCATCTTGCTTCCAGTGTATACCACATAACACCTGATTTTTGTCTTACTCTTTTCCCTCTTTTAAATGACTGGGAATCCCCATTTCTACACAGGAAACCCAACAGTCCAGGGGAGATCATCTTGATGCAGAAGACTGCACCATGATCATACACCCAGTACTTACTTTTGTTGTCTTGTACCAGAACAAGATTTAGGTCTTCTAGAAGTCTCTAACTCTTCCATCCATCCAGGAATAGTTGATGGCATGTGCCTTACACTTGCTGAAGCACTAACATCCCTACCACCAGCCAACCARCTGTTTCCCTGCTTTATTGCAATAGTATGGGCTGGAGAAGTTGGCCGCTGTGGAGGAGGGTCATGGGTCTTGRTGGTAGGCTTMAATGTAGCACTGCCAACRCGTGATGGAAGGCCTGTACTGGAACCAATCTTCATGGCTTCTGAGGAGGACCATGCATTTAGTCTTTCATTCTCWGTCTGTGAGACCAGTTCTTCATGGTAGTTTTGCTGCCATCGCTGCACAGGACCAGTATTTGGTTGGTACATTTGAATCATGTGGGATGTCAKYATGGGCGTGGCTTTTGGTATGGGGCTATGTGACCTGTCSYCCAAATGCTCCTCACTAATGGAAATATTAASCRCATTTGTCTGRGTGAATGGGTAAAGAAGAGGATAAATAACGGAAGAAATGTGAAAAAATGGAACACATAATATACAAAAGAATTTATTTATTCTTAAGGCTGCGAAATAGGAGATATAAAAACCCTAAACTTGCTGTGCAACATTGTTGGTGTTGTAGTTACAGTGCTCCTCTCTGTTCATGGACTATTTTTTTGGTGCAACAAGTTGCCTGTCCTTATATAGGCAATGTGAAAAACCAGAAACATCAACTTCAAATTAACTTGAACAGCAAAAAAACAGTATTGCTGCACAGGAAGTTGAGAGATTTTGTATCTTGTATTTTACATCTGATTAGTCAGTCTGAGTATCAATCAGGCCTGCAATACCAGTACATAGAGTGAGGAAGAATTGAAAGATTGGATGATTTAAAAAGAAAACATGAGTGAAAGGAAATGAAATGACTGGCAAATGACAAAGTGATGACAGAAATAGGGATCTGAAATAACTATTGAATAGAGTGCAATTAACATTACTTAATACCCAAATGGTTCTTCACTTTCAACTATCTCTTGCTTCCCTAAAGAAAACAGGTACTAAAGTTAAAAATAAAAAATGAGACTGAAACCAAACCACCAAAACTAGACAAAAGAAAGAGTTTTCCCCATGGGTGATCTTCTTCTATTTTCTTCTTTCTTTTAATAAATGTAATATTCCTTTGTACTAATATGATACATGTACATGCAAAATAATAACTAGTACAACCTGAATAATGTGACTCTGAATCTATCTGTACAGTGACTTCAGACTGTGGACCTGGACTTTCCTAAAAGTATAGATAGAGGGTATTTAATATGGTTATSAGTTCATATGCAAAATTCATCAGTGTCATCTCCAAAAGACAATTAATTTTAAAGTAGAAATTTTCTAAGACCAAGACAAAATTACAAAAATCCCATTTGACAAGTGCCTTGTATTGTAGGTATTGTTTAAATAATAATCCTTCTTACTGTTCTTTCAGGTTCATTCCAGTTTTCATCAAGTATTTCAGGTTTAGCATCCGTCCAACACACTTCAGCTTCTTCAAGACATTCCTTTACGATRGACCTCACATGGTCTGTGATAAGAGCCTTGGGGCCTAATGTACATTTTTATTTATAATAACTTAAACAAAAGCAGAAACCCACAAATGTCATCAAAGACAAGTAAGTGTTAGTTTCCTATTGCAGCTGTTACAAAGCACATTCCTGGAGAGACCTGGGAATGAGTCTCATAACGGCTGCGAGAGCAAATTMTGCAAGTGTTTGCTGAAACTCACAAAGTGTGGAACTTTTGTTTTGTAAGATCAGACCTAAAAGCTTTGTGACTTTGCACCTCTGGGCAGGAGTCACACACACAAAGGAAWCAAGGTCAGAAAGTACATTTCATATTTTGCCAACAGTTCACTTGTAAGATAACTAGCTAACTAATAGTACTTGTTCATGACTGAATAGGTATTGAGTGCAGACTACTCAACTCAAAGCAGAATCAGCTAGCATTCAGGGATGCATGAGTACAAAAATTCATAATAATGATGACTTGAACAATACTCCATTTTACAGTTCCAGGCACCATCTTGAAAGGTAGCCGAGCCTTTGCATCAAAGCGAGGCAGTAGTTGAGCTTGCAGTGACAGATACCTGTGAATAATTGTCTTGGGTGTGTGAACAAAAGGTATCTATCATTGCAGACTCAACTCCTGYCTCGCTTTCATGCAAAGGCTTGGCTACCTTTCAAGATGGCGCCTGGAACTGTAAAATGGAGTATTGAAAATAGTATAGCACAATTTTTCAATTAAAAAAAAACATAGAAAAACTACTGCATTCTTACCATCATGTTCAGTATCAATAATCTGTGTTTTGTTTGCAAGAGGGAGATCAACTCTAAGTTTCAATGTCTGCTGTAATGCTTCAGATAAAAACCTTGCATTCTCCTAACAGAATACAATTCAGTATGTTATAGCATGCAGTTTGGTAGAGAAGGATATCACCATTTGATTGTACATWAAGCGAGGCCTGCAGTCTGATTCCACTCTGGTCATTTTTGTCTCTGTGTTCAAACTGGAAGTCTGGAACTGACCTCACATGTAAACACAGCTGAAAAAACTGTGAGAACAATAACAACAAAACTATAATATGCAAAAACCAACAACATTGCCTGAAATTGCCTATTGCAGTGTAACATATCTAGTCATATAATTGAGAATATCAGACTTAAGTAAGAGTTTATTGAGAGCTACCAAAGTTGATTTGAGCTGCTGACAGCAGTAACACAAACTGTGTGCAGTTAAGGCAATAACTTTGAAATATTCTCTGCATAAAGAGACAGCTAACTAAGCATGATATAAAATTATGTGGTATTGATGAATAGAGATTTACTTACTCTAGATTCAACAGATGATTGCTTGTGAGAAACTATCAAGTCAAATGAATAAAAACAAGTCGAGTTAAATGCAAGTTACTTGAAATAGGTAAATAATGATTAGAAATATTTGATATTTGAACATTCCAATGGATAGATAAACAGATAAATGATAGAATGAAAGGGAATGAATGACAGAATGGATAACAGACACGATTCAGTGGATTTACTAAGTTGTATTCAGATCTTGTCTCATTTATGTCACAGTAAGTGTAATAAATATTTTGATAATCAAACTATTAGATCTTTTTAACTTCCAAAATAACATGAAACATTTCAAATYTGGATGGTTCCATCAACATATCAAAAACTATTTATAAGTGACATGGCTGCAATAAAAATGATATGGGCAGGTGGAACACAATTTTAACATGATAATATTAGCCTCTAACCTGGTAATGTTGTATGATTGGTCAGAACACTAGAAGGGGAAAAAGGAGAAAGAGAGTGGATGAACTGCCATTTAACAAAAACTGTAGTTGATTAATTAGAAATAATTACTGATTGATTGATTGACGGAGATCGATCGATTAATCGATTGGTTGGTTGGTTGGTTGATTGATTGATTGGTATAGGCTGGTTTACTGATTGATTTGTATTTATTAGAAGGACTTACCCTGAGACAATTCTCCATTTCCCATTTCTGTAATCCCATTCCATCAGTTTAAAGTTGACATAGTGAAATTGGTTGTCAAATTTGCTGTGCATTTGATGATCAGCTTGCTGGAATCTTGACGCTTTGRATTGTAATAATAAAACAGCTGTGAATACCCTAGGATTCTCTGGGAAACAATCATGCCATGGGGACTCAGCAGGGGTACTCCCCTGCAACTTGGGTGGGGGTGTGCCGCTGGGACCTCAAAAATCGCTGAAAACTATACCCTCTTTCAGAGTAAAATCGCTGAAAACGATACTCTGTTCCAGAGTAAAATCCTGCACTAGCTTGCGTGTAGACCGAATTTTTACCCCGTAAATTTTTATCCAGCATCAATAATTCCGAAATTATACCCTTACCCTGTTCCAGAGAAAATTTGTTGAAATCGATACCCTGTCCCAGAGTATAATTGCTAAACACGATACCCAGTCCAGAGTAAAATCGCTGAAAACGATAACCTGGTTGGCAGCACGTCCCCGTATAGCGAATATAGGGGATCCAGACTGGGACAAGGGGATGACAACGATCATGGTGCATAGTTACAGGYATAAACTAGGGACATGGTGAAATACAGAGTTCATCCAAGGATCCCCTCAGAGGAAAGGGAGCATTGAGGGAATCCTTTGGGATAAGGGGAAAAGGCAAGGACACACCACTATGTAAAGCCAGGAATAAGGCTAAGAACGTGATTATTTCCATCAAGGAAAAATGGGACATCCATCGAGGGGACCAGGAAAGATAACCTGGAGCCTGGGAGGGTGTGCAGCAGCAACCTACAAACCCCGACCCTGTTCCAGAGTGAAATCACTGAAAACAACACTCTCTTTCAGAGTGAAATCCAGCACTAGCTTGCATATAGACCAAATTTTCACCCCGTGAATTTTTACCCAGCATCAATAAATTTGGAATTAAACCCTGACCCTGTTCCAGAAAAAAATTGTTGAAATCGATACCCGTTCCACAGTAAAATCACTAAAAAAACAATACCCAGTTCCAGAGTAAAATCGCTGAAAATGATACCCTGGTTGGCAGCACGTCCCGATATAGCGAATTTAGGGGAGTACCCCCCCACCCCCAAACCCTCCCCACCCCCCGGCACTTGGAGTGAGAGTAACACAGGATACAGTACATCATCATTATAATACTCTAGCACACAGAAAAACGATAGAAAATCAAACATTCAATTAAATGTAAATGTGCTGTCATCATACCAGCAACAGTGTCCAGTTGCACAAGTCCAACATGATTTTCAGGAAGAGCAACCAGTCTACCACAAGCCTGTCAAGTAACAACTCCATTAGCTCACGACAACATAAAACTATTGTATTTGGAAATTTGCATGAATTTGTTATTAAAGAATATACCATTAAATCATTAAATTGATACTCCTTTAAATGTCAACTTCATGATTATTACATAAAGAGTAACCAACTACAAAATCTACAGTGCATAAAGCTTGTAAAGTCCTACCACTTCTTGAAAGAGGTTGACAAAGAGAGTCAAAATTAAGTATTTTAAACTGATGCTGAATGACTATAAAATGGACCATTATGATATTGGAGTTGTGTTCTTTCTGTCAATCTTATTGGAAATAAAATAATTATATAATCCCTGACTATGGATTTTAAATTTAGTATCTGGAACTACATGAAGAATCGCTAAACCAGATTATTTTTTCAAGCCTACCTGGTGGCCTAACTGAACTCGATCTCCTAGTCCTGTAAAATCAAAATATTTTCAGAATATACATGTAGCCGCTGCGATGTTACTTGTTGACATGCCTATACTGTATAYTAATCAGGATTTGTCCTCAACAATATATTAAATCTAAAAGTACTACATACCCCTGACAAAACACAGTCAAGGAATTTTAATACATTCAAGACCATTCTCATCCTTTTCAGTTTACACACAGAAAATTGAAAGCATTCTGGTTGGAGACGAATGATTCTGACTTGATTGTCTCAAAAGTTTCCATGCATCATCAATATACTAATAATTTATAAATTATTCAATACATCCCAGATTCTGGGTCTTGTAGTACTTCCTTCAACCAAGTATTTAGAGCCTCCATTTTCTGTTTTCTTCTCTTTTTTTGAAAAAATATATAAGGCAGCAAACTTACTTGGTTTTCTCCTGGCTGTCTTAGCTCTAACTAGACCTGTTTTTGTGTTACCAACATTTCTTAATCCTACTGCTGTTGCCGCCCTGGGAATACGCTGAGGACTTGAGGRGAAAACACTGATCAATATATCAAATTATTAACTAAAAGTTAAAAGAAAGGAATACAGAAAGATTGAAAAGTAAGAAAAGAAAAGAAGGATAAAGATTATAAAGAGATTAAGAAAAGGAGATATTAAAAATAATTATTTATAACTAAGGAAATTGGGATTAAGAAGAGAAGATGGGCAAGTGAAGGAAAGGAAGGACAATCACAAGAGGAAAATTGGAAAAAAATKAAAAAAGATCATTCAATGATCAAGAAAAGAAGAAAATAAAAGAGTGAGAAAAAGGGAATAATAAATAATAGGAATCAAAACAACTAAAGCAGGGAAGGATAGAATATGCAGAAAAGGGAAAGGAAAAGGGTGAAAAAGGGAAAAAAGAAAAATGCGAAAAGTAAAAAAATGAATAAGCAAGAAGAACAATCATGAATGATGATCAAGTTAGTGTTATACCTGGAATGTTTATCTGCTTGGGATGATGGTATACATGATTTTGGTCTGTCTGTTTTTACTAATCTTTTAGACTGTAATATTAATAAAACATCATCCTCTTCAAACAAAAATATGCAAGAATGACAYGATTGACTGGAAAGTTTTCCTGTCAGGTTGCAGGATAACAGGACAGGACTTTTCTTGGTGCACCATTTGTTGCATGATGAGCAGGATATGAACCACATTTATTGCTYTTTTTATCATAAGACCAGTAGACTGTTTTAGTTGATTAATTAATCCAATATCCTAGTTACTGTGTAGTAGGGTCTATTATAATATATTATTACAAGAAAGACTGTAAATTAATATTGTTATAGCTGAAACCGGACATAATATCCATTCCATCTGTGTTTATCAGGGCTCGAAATAACGGCCAGACATATGCAGGACAAGATGTCCTTCCAAATTCATTTTTGGAAGGTCATGTTCAATTTTGAAAGGACAAAAACTTTATCATATTATCATTTTCTTTTAATTTACAGATWTTTGCATTCAGAAAGATCGGCAAGCATATTTATGGCTTGTAAAAGATTTATTTAGCAAATTGGGAATTAATTGTTTTTTATATTTGATTAAAAATGTGGCAATTAAGTCAGTTTATCCTTTCAAAACCCGATTTGGCTGGTCATCTAGTGAATTTGGAAGGACATTGTCCTTTGACTGGGCGTTATTTCGAGCCCTGGAATATGGTCCTGTGTCATTAGTACTTACAGTAATAACATAACTTGGTTCTATAGTATTATCACTCTCTTGTTTTGGTGAAGTAACTTGTACCAACCCTTTCCCTRAAAGACATCAAGCACTGTCTTACAGTAGATGTTTATGGCCACCATGATTTTCCATGGCCCATTYWAATTATTTATCTATAGTTGCATGTTTCCCCATAAATCAACCATGAACTAAAATAAACTTTTTGTAATTTAATGATAATGAAATAYGGCCTAACAATGGTTGTTGCACGGTCAGGTCATTGGGTTTTTGGCCACTGTACCAAACCATGCTAAATGATGTGTTTTAAATTGCACAAGGTTAGACTATGGTCAACCATGGTCTAACCTT